TTGCCCAGGCGTGGAGGGACCGTGCGGCCACCAAAAGCTTCGTGCAGGGTCTCAGGGGCTTCGTCCATGTGCTGGGGCCACAGCGGCTCTGGGGGCTTCTCGTCCCTGGCGTGGGGCTGGGTGTCAACCACGCGGGAGGCGGCCGCGTTGTGCAGGGACCTGGAGAAAACTGAGCGCCAGGGAGGGTCAGGGGACACTCCAGCGCCCTGAGCGCCCGGCACAGCCTTGGCACAGCCCTCACCTCGCACGGGTCTGAAGTCGCCGTCCATCTCGGCCTTGCCGGAGGCAAAGGGGCTGATGGAGGGGAAGACGATGAGTGCGAAGGAGAGCAGCAGGACCTGGGGGCAGAGGGGGACCGGGTTGTGGGACGCAGTTCCCAGAGAGTGAGCTGCTGGCAGAACCAGGGCTGTGTCCCTCTACCTTTCCCTGTGCAGGTGCCCCTGCCAGCACGCATCCATCCATCCATCCATCCATCCATCCATCCATCCATCCATCCGTCCACCCACTAGCCCTTTGCCCTCCAGGGAATTCGCTGAGAGAACTGGGGCTCTGGCCTCTGCACTTTCCTTAGTCACCTAAAGCACTTTCACTTTCTCATTCACGCAAGATCCCGGCTCCGAATTCTTAAATGTCCAGTGATTCCTCCCACACCAAAGGTGCCAGGAGGGAAAACCTTGCCTGGATCCACGCCACTTCCCATCTAGTGAATGGACAAAGAGACCTGAGCCTCTGGGCCATGCACTTTCCTTAGTCACCAAAACAATGCATTTAGCATTCTTTTAACTTTAGCGCAAAGGCCAAGTTCTGGATTCCTAAACATCCAGTGATTTCTCCCACACTAAAGGTGCCAGGAGGGAAAACCTTGGCTGGTTCTCACTAGCCCTTTGCCATCTAGTGAATGCACCAAGAGAACTGGGGCTCTGGGCTCTCCATCCATCCATCCATCCATCCATCCATCCATCCATCCATCCATCCATCCTCACATGCCTCCACCCTTTCTTCCATCCATCCAACCTTGGAGCATTTATCCCTCTGCCTCAGCATACGTCCATCCCTCTGTCCATCCCTCCATCCAGCCCAGCCAGCACATCTCCGTGGGTCTGAGTGTCCCTCCCTCCCTCCCTCGAAGCAAGGGGGATTTGGGGGCTCCACACACCGCGATGCAGGTTCCTGTCTGCGCCGCCTTGTTGCTTGACTGTACCACGAGGGCCTGGAGCTTCTTCAGCTGCTCCAGGAGGGACCTGGGGACAGGGAGAGCCGACTGGCACCTCCAAGCCCCTCCTGCCCCCCAGCAGGTCTGGCTGGGAGGGAGAGAGAGTCACAGCCCCATCCTACCACTGCCCTGGCAACACCTACGAGTTCTGCTTCTCCAGGTGCAGGACTTTCCTCTGCAGCTCCTGGTTTTGGGCCGTGCACGCTGACATCCTGGGGGACAGGGAGAGGGGGATGAGGTCAGTGTGGGGCTGGCAAGGAGCAGCGGGCCCATCACTGGCCAGGCAGGTGCCCCAAGGTGCCTGGGGTGTGTGGGGGTGCCAGCCCCGGGGGTTGGCGTGCGTCTGGGCCCAGAGCAGGGGCTCGGGGGCCGTACCGGCTCTCCAGCCCGTCGATATATTCCTTCTTCTTCTTGCGGCTCTCCTGAGCTGACTGCTTGTTCCTGATCTTCCGCCGGATCTTCTTCAGCACCCGCTCCTCATACTGAGGGAGATGGGGTAGGTGGGGTCAGGGCTGCTGAAGTGGGACCCTACTCCATGCCCTTCCCAGGCACGGTGGCACTCACCTTGGTGAGGGGCAGCTGCGTGGGCAGGGACACCCCCTCCTTCGCCAGCAGCTTCTTCTCATCCTCGGTCAGCACCAGCTCCTGGAACTGCCCCTGGCTCCTGGACCTGCCCCTGGCTCTGCCTCAGCAGGGAGCGGGGCACCGGCGGCTGCTGCGGGGCCATGGGTGGGTGACAGCCCTGGGCAGTGGGGTCACCCCGCGCCTGACCCCAGGGACCACGGTGCGGGGATGAGGATGGGATTGTGGTCCAGGAAGGGCCAGGGATGGGACCACGGTGTGGGAAAGGGGACAAGTGTGGGGATAGGGAGGGATGGGGACGGGAATGGGGAGTGGATCGTGCTCCAGGAAGGGGCAGAGATGGGGAGGAAAGGGGAAGGGACCATGGTCCAGGTTAGGGGACAAGGATAGGGACAGGGAGGGGTGGGCAATGGGACAAGGATGAGGATGGGACTGTGCTTCAGGGTGAGGATGGGATCATGGTCCCGAAAGGACAGGGATGAGGATGAGGATGTGGATGGAGTCATGCTCCAGGAAGGGACAAGACTGGGGACAGGGAGGGATGGGGACAGAGGGGCTGGGACTCACGGCATCAGAGCTGCCTGAGAGCAGCAGGTCCTTGACAGTCAGGTTGCAGGATGCAGGTGGGGAGACCACAGGCAGGTCCTGCTTCTCCTCTGGGAAGAAGCCGGGGTGCCACACGTCTGGGTGACGGGAGAGCGGAGGCTGTCAGCAGTCCTTTGTCTCCCTCTGTCCCCAGTGTCCCCAGTGCAGGACCCTCACCCCTGCCATGGCCTCAGGGCTACGGTGACTTGCTGCCACCTCCCAGTCCAGTGGTCCCGGACTCTGTCCCCCCAGACTGTCCCTCTGGTCCTGCCCCAGCACCCTCCGAACACCCTGCGCAGCTCAGCCCACTTCAGCACCTCCAGTCCCCCCAAACCTCCCTCCTCTTCCAGTCTCCCTCACCAACACCAGTCCGCCCCGTTTCCCCCAGTTCCCAAGCTCTCCCTGCTCCCACCCACTCCCCCTGAGTCCTCCAGACCTCCCAGTTCTCCCCAGTCTGCCCAGTTCCCTCCAGTCACCTTAGCTCCCCTAATTTCCTCACTATCACCGAGAGACCCCAGCTCCCCTGTCCCCCTCAGCTCCTCAATGTTCCCAGTCCCCCCCAGTCCTGACAGTGCCCCCAGCCTGGTCCATTGCCCAGTCTCTCCTCCGTGGCTCACCCAGGTCGATGGAGACATCGGGGTGCAGGACCCCAGTACCCCCCGCGACAGGCAAAGCCCGACAGGGGTTGGCGTAGGGGTACAGGGCCTCGCCAGGACCCCCGTCCCAGCATCTGGGGGGGCTGTCGAGCTGGTCAGAGGTGGGGTCCTCAGAGACCCCGCTGTCGCTGGTGGCCGGGGACCAGCTGGGTGAGTCCAATGCTGAGTCCCCGGAGCCCAGGATGGAGCTGAGGAAGTCCTCACTGTCTTGGGCACACTGCGAGGACACAGACACCCATCACCATGGGGTGCCTGTCACCCTGGGGCGCCCACAGGAGCTGCTCGTGCTGCGGGGTAGTCCCAGCTCCCGGGCAAGGCGTGGGGATGGGGCTCTCCTGCCAGACACAGGGATGAGGTGGGGATGGGTGTCATGCCCCAGCCTGGGGGACTCACCCTGTCCTCGTGCCAGGCACCCGGGGGTGTCCCCAGCTCCACGCCGCGGAGGATCCCGTCCTGGCGGTCGAAGAGGAGGTCCAGCAGGTCAAGGCTGTCGAGGCTGCCCATGCCGGAGGCCATGGCTGCAAGGCGGCAGGGTCAGGTCCCTAATCCAGTCCCCGTGGTTGCCCCCTTGCCTCCCCCCACCAAGTTGTACAGCCCCAGGGACACCCCAAATCACGGGGCGGGCATGGGATTGGTGGGAGGAAGCAGGGAGCATGTTTGGGCACGGGCACACGTGTGCGGGACCATGGCGAGGTGCATCTACAGGAGTGTGGCTGTGCGTGTCACCACGTGGATGTGTACGCGGCTGGGTGTGACGAGGCCACGCTGGCAGATGCAGGTGCAGAGCTGTGTGTCTGTGGAACCACATGACCACGCAATGGGCACGTGTGTGCCCACGCAGACGTGAGTGTGTGAACACGTGCACATGCGTGTGCCGGTGCCAGTATGCGAGCACATGTGCGCAAATCTGGCAAAGCCCTGTGTTCACGCGTGTGGGAGGGAGAGCACAGGCGTGCAGGGGCTCAGCAGTGGCCTCCCCCTGCTCCTCCCAGCAGCTGAAACTCCCAAATCCTCTATTTTCCCTCCCAAGTCCTCTATTTCTCCTCCCAAATCCTCTACTTTCCCTCCCAAGAGAACCACACAGGCAAGGGCTCCCTACAGGCACCCAGCAGGCCCAGCCCCGCCGTGCCCCCCAAGAGCAGGAGCAGGATGAGCACCCGAGGGCTCGGTTGCCCCGTCCGGCCCTGTCCCATGCGTGTGACGGCTCTGGAAAATCAGGTTAATAATTTTGGGTGGCAAATGGAAAGGGAGGAGACTGCTGCCACCAGCCGGCCCCGAGGAGGGGACTCAGCCCCGCTCTGCCCGGGTGCTGCTCAGGACCCCGGACTCAGAGAAAACCAACGGGCCAACGGAGCAGTTGCTCAACTGGCTGATCAGCCGACTGACAACCCAACTAACTGACCAGTTGACCTACCAGTTGACCAACTGACCAACTGGTTGACCAGCCAAATCAATGAACCAATCAACAAACAGACTAAACGGTCAACCTGTTGGCCAACTGACCAACTGACTGACCAACCAAATAACCAACCCACTGACCAGTCAAGTGTCCGATTGATCAACCAACCCACCACCCAACTACCTAACTCACCAACCAACCTACCACTCAACTACTCAACCCACTCCACCCAACCCATCACCCAACTGCCCTTCCCAACCTATTGAGCACTGACTCAAGTGTCCTTCAAGGTGAGTTTGGAGATCATTGTCATTACCATGATGTTTCACTGGCCTACCCAGGCAAGCGGCTTTATTGCGTCCTGTCCTTCATCCTCAGTCCTTCCAGTGAGCCCCAATATCCCTGTGGGACCATCAGGTAGAGGGACCCCACTGAGTGACAGCAGCCAGGACATACCTGTGTGAGATTCCACTCCCACGGATCTCTCCTGTCTTCTCAACCCCCTCGGTGCGCAGAGGAGCAGGGCGGACACTGAGCCCGGCCACCTCCTCCTCCTCCGTGGTGCCCTGACCCAAATGGCAAAGTTTAAACTCCAACTGCACAGAAATAACACCTCGGATTGCAAAATCTGTCTCTGATTGGGGACAGTGGTGAGCGATGGCAGGGCCGCCCTGGTGACGGACCTGCTGCGCTCCGTAACTCATTAGCCAAATGTTTTTGTCCTCCTCCGCCAAGCAGGGCAGGAGGGGCCCAGGGCTGGTGAGCGAAGTCCGAGCGCTGTGATTGCCCATGAACTTTCACCTATTTTCGGGGACGATTTCCCTTTTTTTCAGGCAAGCGTATCGACGTTAATCACATTTTATAGGTGTCGAGGACAACATCCGCGGAAGACGTCAGCTCGGACTCTACCACTTACGGCTTCCTCTGCAACAAACCTTGGCCCCCTTTGCTCCCCGCGGCCAGGGCTGGCCTGGCCGCCCGGGTTCTGCTGCCTGCCCCGCTGGCAGGGCTGCCCGCACCCTCCGTGCCTCAGTTTCCCCCCTGGCCGTTCTGGGGGCCGAACACACTACGGTTTGTTGGCCACCATGTTCATCC